GAGGCGGTGTGGTGAGCAGAGCCCACAACGGCTTCAGGACACTGTATTTGTTGTCTCAGTTCCTCCTTTCATATTGTGCCTGGAAATTCCCTACCAGGCAGGAATTACTCAGGCCAGAGCTTTTGCCCACCAGCCCCATAGCAGGGCCAGTGGAGGCAGCCCAGGGGCCGGCCAGCCCTGCTGCACGGCGGCTGCAGTCACAGGAGGTGGGTCAGGCATAGGAGCTGTGGGGAGGTGTAAAGATGACTGTGCTTCTCCTGGGCTCAAGAGGCCTCAACGATGAGCCTGATGCCATGCTGCCCCTTTTCTGGGACTTGTGCATCAGTCTTCTTGCATGCTTCTGTCTCCCTGGGTAGAGTGACATGGCTTGCAACCCTCTGCGAGGTGGCCCCAGGCCCCAGCATTTCCATGTCCTCAGCCCCTGAAGGCCCTTCCAAACGGGCAAAGGGCTCTTCACTTAGCCAGAATCTGGGGCACCCCTCCCCTGCATGCGCTTACCTCCCTTATGACCTTGAGCACCTAGGTTGGAGCCAGGTGGGCCTGTTCTGCACAACTGAACAAGGGAAGTCAATGTCCAGTGCACCCAGCCTGGGGACCAGGTACGAGTGGGCCCCTTGTGGGCAGTGGGCATCAGCTGTGCCCTGGGCCTGCCCAGCTCCCTGCAACTCACCAGATACACCAGCTATGCAGCTCAAACCCCAGGACGGGAGGCCCATGCAGGCTAGGAGAGAGCAGAACCCCTCACTTGAGTTGGAAACAGGTAATTGTTGGCCTCACCTCTGGTCCCCTGCCAGTATCTGCAAGTTCTGAGAAAATCTGTACATGTTAGGAGCAAGAATGTTTTCTGTTTTAACCTGGAGTGAATTTCACATCTAAAAGGGAGAATGTGGTAACTTTTTAGTAGGTAGCAGCTTACAGCCGAACTTGGCATCTGTTCCTTCCTGCCATGCTTGCCTGAATTATGCCATGATTATGTTCACTCTGCAATATCACTTTGGAAAGTAGTCTGACCTGTCACGGAAGGCAGAGACGTGTGGTGCGCCTTTGCTGACCACCTGGCTGAGTGTACTTATCCTTGTGCTGGAGCTTTCTTGAGCAGGGTGGGTGCCGCCACCCCCCCCCCCAGCTCCAGACTCTTGCCAGGCTGCCAGGAGGGTACATCTCCTTCCCTCTCATCCATGCTGTCTGGCCATTTCCTTTGCTTTTTCCTCCTCTGTGAGATGAGCTGTGTGTGAGTGCAGGCCAGGCCACACCAGGGATAGAGGAGGCAGCCATCTGAGGGGCTCCATGTGCCACCCAAGAGCTATCCTGTGTGAGGCATTGCCCTTGCCTGTCATATGTGTGGCTCTAGGCATCCCTCTGGTGTTTTGTCTTACTGAGCCTGACTACCACGTACCACAATGAAGTCCCTAGAGAGTCCACTTTAGAGCTAGAGAGGTGTATCATGGTGTTCTTTTGAGGTCCAGGCACATTGGACTTGTTTTTGTGGTACTGAGACAATACATAGCAGCAGAGAGGGAAAGGGAGAGAGGGACCAAGATTCCCATACCCACTTCAAGAAGGCCACACCCCCAGGGACCTGACTTCCCACTGGGCCTGTCACACCTTCAGCATGTGGCTGGGGAGGGGGTGGCTTCCATGTTTGTGCTTTGGTGGTGGTTGTCTGCTGTGGTCTAAATGGCTGAAGTGTCTCCTCAAAGACTGGTAGATTGGGGGCTTTATTCCCAGTGCCCCAGCATTCAGAGGTGGGGCCAGGGAAGTGACTGGATCTTGGGCACTGATCTCTTTGGTGGATTTGCTATGGATGAGACCATCGCTGAATGTGCGGCCAGGAGGTGGAACCTGTTGGCGGAGGGAGGTGGTCACCCAGGCATAACTCCAAAAGGTGTGTCTCCCTCCTGGCTCCCCTTGTTCTGCTTCCTGTCAGCCATAAAAAGCAGCCCTTGCACCGTGCTATCTTCTCCTTGGAACTAGCTACTCACCATGAACTAAAGCCCCCCAAAGCATGAGCCTGAGTTAACTTGTGCTCCTAAGTTGTACATGTCAGGCAGGTCCCAGCAGCGGAAGAGTTACTGGCACAGTCACCCTTCCTTGGTACTTCTGATGGCTGAGATGCCCTAGCCAAAAACATGGTCTTCTTACTTGGTGGAAGCTGGCAGTGGCATCCCTTCTTGCTAGGCCATGTGTATCTGGTTGTGGCCCCTGGAATGCAAAAGTACTTGTGTAAGTGAAGTTCCAGGATCCTTTCCATCACTTGATGTGCATACTTGGCCACATCTGGTAGCTTCCTGCCCTCCTTGTGGTGGGCACCATGGAGCAGCCCCTCAGGTCTGCCCACACTCCCCATGCGCACTGGTGCTGCTGACTCCTGGCCTGTGTGTCTCCCTGCAGATGTCCACATGGGGCAGGTACCACCACATCAAGTGCCCCTGGGCCAGGCAAATATTTACCTACAGTGGACAGGGCAAATGGGCTCACAAAAGTGGGGAGGGACAGTAGTCACTGTGGGAGTCGGGGGAGGCCACACTGGGTTCCACTAGCCCTAAGGAAATTAGGTGGCTGGTGTCTTTGGAAGGATCCGATGGGAGCACAGGTGGCTGTGGCCTGGCAGGGGACTCTGTTCCAGCGAGCAGAGAGCAGAGCGGTTTGCCTGGGGAAATGAGTTCCAGAGGACAAAGGGCTGCTGTGCGCCAGGCTTTTCCTCTCACTGGGAGGCTGCACAGCCTGCAGGCCACTAGCAGGGCCATCTTGAGGGCAAGGCCAGGAGGTCCCAGCATGGGGACTGTGGGCAGTTGGGGGACTGTGGTGGCAGCCCCGTTTGGCCCTTGTCCCAGAGGCTGGCTGCTGGCTACTAGTCAGCCAAGCCTGGGCTACCTAGGTGTTTTGCCTCCTCCCTCCCATCTGGGAGCAGGATGGTGTCTGCCCAAGGACAAGGACACTCTGTGCCGCCAGGCCATTTGGGCCTGGGCAGCATTCTGCTGTGCAAGGACTCCTGGTTCAGGAGTGTGTGGGGACCCAGGGCTCTAAATAGATCCTATCAGGGAGGTCATGGAGTGGAGACAAGACCACATGGCAAGTCCAGAGCTCCATTGGAGCTGGAATCAGCCTTGTCTCCCCTTTAGGCCTGACCCTTGCACCACTGGGGCTGCTCTTGAGCCGAATCCTGCAAGCAGTAAATATGCAGCAGCTTTACCTCCTGCCAGATGGTGTGGCGCAGGGGTTCTAGGACCTCCAGCTGTGTTCATGGACTTGGCTCCACCCAGCAGCACTGAGAGGCATGGCTTTGTGTGCACAGTAAATCAGCCCACAGCGAGGTGCTGTGCAGTGCAGGGGTACCTGTGCAGGTCCCTTTGTGGTCACCTCGCACCTTCCCACCACAGCCGGGGGGAAGGGAGGCATCAGTCTCACCTTGGGTTGGGTTTTGGCAGAAGGGCAGAAAAGCTAGAGTTCTGCATGATCAGCGCTGGAGCCTGAACCTGGGGGTGTGGTGCCTGTTGTGTGGAGGGGACAGGAGGGACAGACCTGAGGTGGGGAGATGTTCTCACATCCCCACATGGTCAGAGAGCTGCTTGCAGAAGACCGGAGGGTAGGTCCTGGGCTGAGGGCTGCAACATTCTTCAAAAGTTGGCAAAGGCCTGTAGGTGGACAGCCAGCAAACCATAGCGGCCTTTGTCCTACGGCCAGGAAGACTGACTTCTGCCAGCACCTGAGCGTCTAAAGAAAGAGCACAGCCTCCTGGCCCCTGGTCCCAGCCCAAGGCACCCAGAGTAGATGAGATGAGCAGCCCTGCTATTTGACCTACTGGTCACCTGTGATGGTGGCAGACTACAGGAGCCAGGGGGACCAACACTACAGTCTTTGGGGTTGTAGGTGTGGCTCAGCCCTGCCCTGCTCTACTCTGCTGCACTCAACTCCACTCATGAAGTCGGAGGCCTGGAGCCCACACTGCACAGTCTGGGCCTGGGCTGCTGTCAGCGCACATGAGGAACAATATGAGGTTCACAGCCACAGCTTGCTGTGGGTTGCCAGCATGGGATGCATACACCAGGGAGATGCTGCTGCAGCTGCTCAGGCTGCTATTGTGTGTGCATGTCTGCACAAAGTGCAGAGTCACTGTGCACTGGGAGTATGTAAGGTGCCCACCACCTGCCTGTCATGGATGCAGTGGGGCTTTCCCGGCACCCAGACCGTTCTTCACCAGATAGCTGTTGGCAGTATGTATCCATCAGTGTCTTTTCTTACATAGTAATCTGTCTGTCCTAGCAGCACCCTAGGCTAGCTGGGCTCACATGCATCTGCCTTCTGTGATGTCATACGTTTCTAAGTCCAGGCCTGCTCCTCCCTCACAGTGTTGGGCTTTTCTTGAGTTATCAGCCGCTTGCTTTTGGCCCTTATGCTTGTGCTGCTTTGGATCATTCCCGTGTCAGACAAGCAGGAGTTGCTTAGGGGGTGGGGACATCAAAAACGATGCCACCTGTGATGTGACAGCAGCAGCACCTGCCATGTGGGCCTGCTATAACAGTGTGACCAGGCGTGTACAGGGAGTGCTTGGGTGGGTTGGGGACGGCCAATGGGAGGGTCACACCTTACCCCCCACTGCTGGTGTTACAGGCACTGGCTGTGCTATGGGCGCATCTTCCTGTGCCCTCAGCTCACCTTGTCCTGATGCCTGCCGCAGCCAGGCAGTGCCACCAACTGCCTGGTCTCTGCCAGAGCCTCAGCATGCCCACATGCCTCTCTAGAGCCTTGACAGATGTATGTGGCCCAGTTGGCCAGCTTACCCTATACTGATCTTTTCTCTGAAGTAGGTTCTTCTGCTAGGTCTTTAGTTCCCATACCCTGGCAGCTGAGGCAGAGCTGACTCATCACCCTGTTGGGAGCAGGTCCCTTGTATAAGTGTGGGAGCCGGGCAAGTGCATAGTGAGCACACAGGTGGTGCAGGCCACCCCAGCTGCCAGCCTTAGGGAGATGGAGCCTGATGAATGGCTTTTGTCCCACAGATCCGGAACATGGTGGCAGTGTTGGAAGTCATCTCCAGCCTGGAGAGATACCCCATTACCAAAGAGGCACTGGAGGTGAGTACTGTGCTCCAGCCTGTCCCTGTGTATCATGGGAGGAAGCCCAGGCCAGCTCTCTCTGTGCTACATGGGCCCTCTTCCCCTCACATGTGTCCCTCGGTGTCCATGTAGTAGCTTGATGGCCCAATGCTTCCAGGTTCTGGAGACCATGAGACAGTGCTGCTGAGAGCCACCTGTGACCCAGGACTGGCTTTCTAAGCTGTGTGTCAGTGCAAGGGACCAGAAGTCTGTGGGGTCTGAGTCTAGGCAGCTGGCAGTTTGGTGGCCCAGGGTGGAAAGCCCACACTAAACATGTGTATGCTTCTAGGAGACGCGACTTGGGAAGCTTGTTAATGACGTCCGCAAGAAAACCAAGAATGAGGAGCTCGCCAAGCGGGCCAAGAAGCTGCTTCGAAGCTGGCAGAAACTCATCGAGCCGGTGCAGCAGAATGAGGCGGCCCTGCGTGGGGCCAACGGGGGTGCTCATAACTGCCGACCAGAGGGTGGGGCTAGTGTGCCCAAAGGCATTCCCGACCTCAAGCACCGCAATGACCTCCAGAGGCTGCCAGGGCCACGGCTGGACAGGCTAGGAAGCCGCAAGCGCCGAGGGGACCAGCGTGACCTTGGCCACCCTGGCCCACCTCCCAAGGTCTGCAAGGCTGGCCACGACCTGGGTCCCAACTCCTCCCCACTTCCTACCAACGGGATCAGCGGGAGCCCGGAGAGCTTCCCCAGCCCCGTGGATGGCAGTGGGCTCTTGGGCTCTGAGGGCAGCCGCCTGGAAGCCGACGAGAATGAGCAGCACAGCAGCAAGGTCCCTGTGAATGCTGTGAGGCCGCACCCTAGCTCCCCAGGCCTGAGCCGACCCTCGGGGCCCTGTCTTCAGGCCAAGGTAGATGAGACCCCAGGCCCCCCCCATCCCAGGGCTCCAGCCCGCTGCTCCTTCAGCCCCCGGAACTCACGGCAAGAGGGCTCCTTTGCCCGCCAACGGAGCCCCTACACGCCCAAGGGCTCCGTGCCCAGCCCCTCACCGAGGCCCCCGGTGCTCGAGGCCACGCAGGTACCGTCCCCGCTGCCACTGGCCCAGCCGTCCACCCCTCCTGTGCGGCGGCTGGAGCTGCTTCCCAGTGCAGAGAGCCCGGTGCGCTGGCTGGAGCAGCCTGAGGGCCACCCGCGGCTGGCAGGCCCAGGCTGCAAGGCTGGGCTGCCCCCTGCCGAGCCGCACCTGCCCTGGGCAGGCTTCTCCCCGGACTCCTCCAAGGCGGACAGCGATGCAGCCTCCTCGGGTGGCTCAGACAGTAGAAAGAAAAAGAGGTACCGGCCTCGAGACTACATGGTAAACTTGGACGGGCAGGTGACTGAGGCAGGCGTCAAGCCTGTCCGGTTAAAAGAGCGCAAGCTCACCTTTGACCCCATGACAAGACAGATCAAACCTCTGACACAGAAAGAGCCAGTTCGGGCTGACAGCCCCGTGCACACGGAGCAGCCTCCCAGGACAGAGCTGGACAAGCAGGAGGCCAAGGCAAGCCTCCAGAGCCCCTTTGAGCAGACGAACTGGAAGGAGCTGTCGCGCAATGAAATCATCCAGTCATACCTGAGCCGCCAGAGCAGCCTGCTGTCATCGTCGGGGGCCCAGACCCCAGGGGCGCACCACTTCATGGCCGAGTATCTGCGGCAGGAGGAGAGCACACGGCGTGGGGCCCGGCAGCCGCATGTGCTGGTGCCCCACGAACCGCCAGCCGACCTCCCAGGGCTGGGCCGAGAGGTGACGCAGGATGATCTAGACCGACTGGAGGCCAGCCAGTGGCCAGGGGTGAACGGGTGTCAGGACACACAGGGTAACTGGTATGACTGGACACAGTGCATATCGCTCGATCCGCATGGCGACGATGGGCGTTTGAACGTTCTGCCTTACGTCTGCTTGGACTGAGGCCTGCGCCCAAAGCGCATTCTCACCTTGCAGAGCCAGGCGGGCGGGGAGCGTGGGTCTCTGAGCCCTTCCCTCCACACTCTCCTTCTTTTGTGAAATGCTGCTACCGGTTTACTAACACGATTGCAAAGGAAGGACCGCGCAGAAGGAAGGACAAGGGAGTTCAGAACTCTGGCAACCAGCTCTGCAGGAGCTAGGCCCGCCTCGAGGAGGGAGTGGTACAGATGCAGGTGGTCTGCAGCTGTGCCAGGCAGGGCCTCCGTGCACACGGGCGCAGGACAGCTGTGGGGAGGTTTCCTGTAACAGCGACAGAGGCACGCATCTCATGTCTTTCTTCCTTTTCTGTTCCTGAGCTCGGCCCGGTGTCTTTGAGACGGCGGGCTGGCCTCAGCCTCTGCTCTCTACCCAGCCCCTGTCTGTGAGCCGCTGGCATCGGATGGGTACGCCGGCCGGCCGGCATACCCCACACTCCACAGGCACTCACCCATTCCTGTCTGGTTTCGGTTGAATCCCCATTCTTAAAGAAATGCTGCAGAAATTTCAGTTTCCTCAAGTTTATTCTCATCCCCTCTTCATGTGGCTACCAGCCAAATACCTTGTTCCTCTCTTCCTGTCCTTTTTCCTTCTTGCATATGCCTAGGAAACTTCACCTTTCTAGACCCTCCCCAGCTACCAACAGCAAGGGCAATGCTCCTAGTGCTGAGCTGCACGGAGGGTGAGGAGGGAGGCCTGTCTGCGCTGGGAACACTCATAACCATTCCTTTAGATTCGTTTGCCTTATGGTTATTTGTCATAAACGCGATTTGCAAAAACAAGGAGCCTTAGTGAATGTACAGTACCTAGACTTCTGTGTTCTCAGGATACAGAAGGGAGCAACTTTGCTATTTGGTCCAGTAAGTGGACACCTTGTGATATAAATGTGGAAATAAAAAAAAAAACAAAAAACACAAAACATTTGCACAAACCAGTCTGAGAATGGTTTCTCGTTTGGACCCTCCCAGCGGAATCAGCCCTTTCCAGGCTCTGGCTGAGCCAGGAAGCCTGGACTACCCCGCACCCAGACCCCCAGTGGAAGAGGAGGGATGGCTGAGCACCTGCTAGCTTGGGGTGACAGTTTGCAGGGCCACATCAAGGTCGCTCAGACCTCTCCTGCCTTAAGGAGAAGCTGTTACAGGCATTGAAGCTCATGCCTGGCCATTTTGTTTTTTTCCTCCAAAGTATCTGGCTTCTTGGTGGAGCCACTAAATACCTGGCTAATGCCTTTTCCCCCTTAATTGTAAAGTGCTAATCTTTTTAGTTCTTTAAGATTTTGGAATTCTAGGGTTTCTTTTATATATTTAGTACAGAGTCTCAATACACAGATCTGACTTGTGATCCGCCAGTTTTCAGCCTCCCAAGCACTGGGATTACAGGCGGACACCACACCAGCCTGTTGCTGGCTCAGCGCGCCCCAGGGGCGGGCCGGGACGGCACAGCAGGGATTGAACCCCCTTAGTACACCGCTGAACTGGCTGGCACGGAATTCTAGTTTTGTACATACCATTTTGTCAGTACTCATCTTAAGGAGAAGACAGCTGCACAAAACCAAGGGTCCTGGACATTGCTTCCAGCCCAGTCGACCCTGAAGAAATGTCAGCCAGTAGAACCCCTTCAATAAGGGAGGGGTCCAAGATAAGGGTTAGGTCACGTGGTATCGGGTACAGTGAGATTGGCCTTGTGCCCTTTCCACGAGCTGTGTGGCTGCACTGCACGCCTATGCAGCTGGTCCCTTGGAGAAGACAGAAACGCCTGTCCATAGTAGTAAATTAACTGATAGAAGATTAGCAGACCGATGCCGCGTGAGTGGGGGCCATAGGACACTCAGCTCTGCTGTTGCTTTCGTGGAGCCTGTGCAGAGCTGCTCCTCTTGAATATCTGGAAGCCCAGGGAACACATCACCTGCCTTCGCGAACACGAGAATAAGCGGATATCCCGAACCTTTGGAGGCGTCGAGTTAGTTGCTACCTGCTAAACTGCAAAGTATGGGCGCTATAAAAGGAAATATTAATACCCCTTGTCCACGAAGCTGGAAGTCCACGGTGTCCAGAGGCAGTCAAGGTCTCTGCAGCAGTACAGGAGTAGGTTGCTGGGAGCAGCTGTTTTGCTTTTCTGTCTGGGCCTGCGGCGTCAGTGGTCAGGGCAAAACTCAGAATCTAAGCAGGCTGCTTGGTCGGGCGGGCGCCTCTGGGTTTCACCCGCCTTCCGGAAGGGGACGGGCGCACCCACCATGCTGCGTTCCTAGGGATCAGTGGACGACGCGCGTCGCGGGGCCTAGGCTGGCCCTTGCGAAGGAGTACCGCCGTGGGCATCTGCGCCTCTTTGCAGTGGTAATGCAGCCCAGGAAGACCTTTCCGCGATCTGGTGACCTCAGCCACTGGGAACCTAGTTTGGGGTGGCGGAGGCGCCGCGGAACAAGGCCCCAGGCTGGAACGCTGCCGTATTCACACAC